TAAAACAAAAATATCTGTCGTGCATAACGGGTGCATCAAAATCTCAAAGGAAATACCCTACTCGCGGGTAATTTATCATATAAGTGAAGCTTACAGCTGATTAATTATCTATGTGTGCATCATCTTGTGCTATAGTGATACTTTTGTAATGCTTGTTACTCAATCGCTCTGTGACAATAGGATTATTATTCTCCTATTCCGGATACATGAAACAACGATACTATTGTAATACTCTTACTCAATCGTTCTGCGGTAAATAGGTTTCATCTCCCTATTTCCGGATACGGATAGAATAACATTATTCATATGTGTTTATCAAATTAACTCATGTCGGAAGTGTGTAATTCTAACACAATCTAGCATACATGCACCAATCTTGGTGTACGTGTCCACCTCTAAAATTCACCATCATCCCAGGTTTTTAACAGTCAAATAACATCGTAGTCTATCATCATAAGATCGAGAAATTTGATTGACAAATCAAATACAACCCTCAAAAACATGCACAACCAAAAACAGACTGGCAGTTGACCATGGCGGTCGACCGCGACGGTCTCCAAAGACTACTCAGGTCTCTGTCCTGCACGCGGTCGATCGTGGCGGTCGACCGTGGATCCTGATTCCAGTTTTTCAAACTGGTTGTGTGTGTGTCGTGTTCATGTCGTGTTTTCTTAATATAAACATGTCTAAATCTTCATAAAACTTGTATGCAAACATGCTACAGTAGATATGAACATCTGGAAACAACTCAACAACTATAAACATGATTTTATGTATTTGATTTGTATTCAAAACCCTAAAACATGCATAAAAGCTCAAAACAACGAATCAAACTTCTTTCTTTAGACTAACCACATTTAAAAAAAATCATCATCAGATCTTAATCACATCTGTAAAAACTTTCTCAACTTTTTTAGCATGGAAAGACCTAATCTTTATACATATAATACAAAAGAATTATCTTTTATACATAATCTATTTGTTTAGGCTCTACAAAACATGTTAAAATCTCTTTAAAAATGTTTTAAAAACTGGGAGGAGGATTAGCAGAGATGATACTCGCCTGGGGTTGTAGGAAAACGTGTTAGAAGCAAGGTTGAAAGAGATCCCCACTCCAAAAGCCAAAAATCACCCGAAAATTCTATGAAAGCCTTCAATCTTCTCCAAGAAATCAATCTAGGGTTTGGGGGGTTTGGTTGCTATTAGGGTTCTTAGAAAAACTGAGAAAAACGTGAAAAACTCATATATATATATATATATAAAACCAACTCAAAACAGGATAAAAACGAACTGCAGGTTTTGCGGTCGACCGCGGCGGTCGACCAGACTGTGATTTTCCAGCTCCGCATAAGTTTGGCTATTTGTGCATGTTTCGACTCTTACTCTCTCATGAAAGAACTCATTCATACCCAAAACACATGGTATTATACTCATATACCATTTGATGATATTTATCATACTAAATATTCACATATCATAATTTATCACACATTAATTTTATTATTCATAAATTATCGGGGTTTTACATCAACGTCGTCATGCTCTATGCTCCCATCTTGTTTAAGACTGTTGGGTTCTGGGATGATGCTTCTCTTATGCCCGCCATAATCAATGGCATCGTTAATATGTTTCCTACTATTGTCTCTATCTTCAATGTGGACAAGATTGGCCTTTGCAAGCTTCTCCTTGAGGGTGGACTCTAAATGATCATCGTTTGGGTAAGCAATACATCAAAATTTTAATTTAATTAATTATAATTTAGGATATTGATCATGGATATTCAAATATCCATTATTAATGGATTTTACATCATGTAACTGTAACTTTTAATATTTGTTGTTTCTTTAGATGTTCCAGTCTGTAATTGATCTACCTGCAAGTGAGTAATCCATCGATGCAACATGCTATTGTAGCCTAAGGGACTCCTGTCTTGTACAACCTCCTAATAAAAGTGAGTGAATAAAATGTCTAAATTTTATGGTTTGAAATTTTGTATTCAATTGAGTTAGAAGGTACTTTTGTAGCTGCATTTTTTAAGCAACCTAGAGATCTTTGCGAATGCTAGTGGTATGGATAATCATACAGTTGATTCTGAACACTTGATGCATGATTTCAGTGAACAAAACTGAGACAAAAACTGAGTTTTTAACCATTGATTTTGGTATTGAACAAAATTTACACCCACTTGAGGATTGAGAAAGTCTCTAAATCAGTTCATGTTTTATCACTTTGTATTTTAGGCATATGTTGTGAAAGTCTCTAAATCAGTTCATGTTTTATCACTTTGTATTTTAGGCATATGTTGTGAATAATATGGGATACCCATATAATATGAGAGATTGGTTCATTAAGTTGTTGCTGGACTTTGCATACTAACCTATTAATAGGTAATTTGCCAGTGTTGGGTGTCAAGAGACAAACATCAAGATGTGCATGCAAAGTTTCTCTACGTCAATATTTTGCTTCAAAATTTTGGTTGTTATTGGGATATTGGTTGGAAAGGATCTCATTGTGTGTATTAATTTTGTTGGCTATTTTGTTCCTACAATAGGAATATAGATGTTTGAAAATCCTTTACTTGCATCTTTCTCTGTTATCCTATTAGCACTACCAAATTTAGATAGCTATAAATATCTCTATATTCTTTTTCTGATGTCTGAATTTAATGTTCAACAAGATGAACGAGTGCCAAGTGAGCCAAAGAAAAACATTATGCAAGCAAGAATGAACAAAAAATATACTGAGGCTAAGCTCGCACAAGTACATTTCTTTCTTCCCATTTTGCTTGATATTTGGCAACTTAATTTATGCTAAATGACATTATCTTGTATTAGTTGATCAGTGAGAAACCCCAGATAATCCAAGAGTGTGAGTCAGGAAAAGCCATCCCAAATCAGCAGATCATCGTCAAACTAGAAAGGTTCTTGGAGTTAAAACTGCGAGGGAAAAAATGTGCTTGTCTTGTTACCTTGCTATGCAATAAAAAGTAGTATTGCGCTAACTTTGTATTATGGAAAGGGTGTGTTTGGAGCTTGTCAAGCCTTAGTTTGTTGAAATATTAATGAGTATTTTGAATTTTATATGGGATTGTGAAATTTTCATGGGTGAATATATGTACTCATACATTAGGTAGTGCAAATACTTAGTCAAGGCTCTAACGTCATGAGCTTGGATTTATATCCACATTATCAAACGTTACTTCTAGGTATACTCTTGTGGTAGTCTTTGATTAATCGATCACATTGTAGATGCAACCACTGTACTATCGCCTAATTGATCTCTAAATGTAATTTTATTATTCAAACGTTGTGAATTTTTAGTTTTTGTCCATATGTTTGCTCTATTGTTTGCATTCAATAAAATTTATTTCAAATCTTTCCCTAAATAAAATTTAAAATTTAAAAAATATTAAAATTTTACCACATGCATTGCACGTAGCAATCCAACTAATATATATATATATATAATATATATATATAATTTATAGTATATTATATCATATATAGAGAGACGAGAGATGAGAGTAGAGAGAGAGAGACGAGAATTAATGCAGTGTCATTACATAGGTGGAGTTTCGCTCTATGAACGGGCGATGTGGCTAGATCTCAGTAACTGACTGTTTTAAATGGGTTAATCAATTCTGATGTCATCTTGCCAAAAAAAACTTGCGTGAGATCCTACTGGACCAGCTCTTGATGACTGTCGAAACCGCAACCCCCCCCACTCTCGGTTCTCCTCTCTGTCCTCTCTCTCTCTCTCTTCTCTCTCGTCCTCTCTCGCTCTTCTCTCTCTATCTCTCTCCCCCCAAATTCCCACCGCCATCACCACCGCGAAACCCACCCTCGCGATTACTTCCGACAACAATGCCTCCTCTCCCGTCGACAGCCCCCTCCTCCTCCCGCCTCCCACTGTCGAGACCGACGCCGACGCCCCCATTCCGCCTCCCGCTGTCAAGACCGACACCCTCCCTCCTCCTTATGTCGACGCCAATGCCGATCTCCCCCGTCAAAGGCCCATCACTGCTTCCTCTCTCGCGCCCGACGTCGACGCAGGTATTTTTGGTACTGTCTTAATTTGGGTATTTTTGGAGTGATTTCTGGTCTCAACGTGACAAAATCTGTTCAGATTTCAATTCTGCTAGAGTGGTCTGTTCAGATTTCAATTCCATTTGGTTGGCCTCTTTCTTGCGTTATTATGCTAATGCTTGTTTTACTGCTGTGAATTAGGGTTGACTTAAATTTTTATGCTAATTGCATTATTATGCTAATGCTTTTCTAGGTTATTATGCTAATTGCGGATAGTTTCTTTGGGGGAAAATAATATGTGTGGACAGTTTCTTTTGTCCTCAAAATATGTATATACTGAGTGCTTCAACTATTCCCAGCACGATTGTAGCTGTTCACGTCTTCGATAAGCTGTAACCTTTCATGATTCTGGAGAAGCAAACTTACACTGGTTTTGTTGCTATTGTCATTTAATATTCCGTACTCATTAATATGATAATGTTCCTTTTCTACACGTGCTAGTTTTATTAGGTTTATATTCTCATAAGCAGTTCCATGCGTCAGTAAGAATTCTGTAGCTCCAGGTATAATTTTTCTTTGTTGTTCGTAATTACCCAAAATTATCAAGTCATTGATAAGAAATTTCAAGCGGTGGATCTAATTAGTTGTGCCATAGGCTGTAAATAAATAAATACTCTAATACTTTCGAATCATGAAAACAATTTTACTGCAGTGTGGTTATAGACTTGCATCATTAGTATATAATTTCTCAAAGTTTGTAACACAATGATAATTGTTTCAGGGCGACGAGAGGACAATGAATGTTGAAACAGATGATGTGCTACCCATTGGACTAAGTGAAAATGATACCCAAAATCTCATGGATGTTGATGGTGAATTGCATACAGCTCTTGTAGGCCCAAATGAGATGACTTTCATAGGAGAGGCGCCATACGAGGGAAAAGAATTTGCTACATTCTTGTAGGCCCAAATGAGATGACTTTCATAGGAGAGGCGCCATACGAGGGAAAAGAATTTGCTACATTTGAGGAGGCATACAACTATTACAATTCTTATGCAAAAAAATGGGCTTTGGAATCCGCAAGGAAACAGCCGATAAGTCAAGAAATTATTTCTCAAGTTTTTGTTTGCAACAAGGCAGGGAGAAAAAGGTTATCAGATAAGAGAGAGTGTGGGAAACTTGTCAATCGCCGTCCAGATACTAGAGTGGATTGTCCCGCAAGAATGAAGATTAAGTTGACTTCCTCCAAGACATGGATTGTCACGAAGTTTGAGGGAGAGCACCCAACCCATCTATTATCAAGCCCTGATAAAGTGTGGAATCATTATTCCCACAGGCAAAGGCATCGCTCGAAGACTTGCAAGAGAATTATTCAGAATTTGAGTGAAGAAGGAATGGCTCCTTCTACTACTGCTCGAGTGTATAATGTTGTGTCTAAGAGTTTTCATGACGAATATATTACTGCACAACAATGTATTGATCACATCAGAACTATTAGGAAGAACAACATTGGCAATGAATGCATATCCATCATAAAGAATTTTCAAGATAGGAAGGAAATTGATCTAGAATTTTACTTTTCCATAGAGCTGGATCAGTCGGGGACTATGAGGAGCGTGTTTTGGGCTGATGGGAGATCAAGATCTTCTTACTTAAGTTTTGGAGATGTAGTGGTGTTCGACGTCACATATAAAACCAATTATTTGAGCCTAACGTTTGCTCCATTCACAGGTGTAAATCATCATCGGCAGTCCATTCTCTTTGGTTGTGCGTTACTGGCAGATGAGCAAGAGGATACCTTTATTTGGTTGTTCACCCAATGGCTAAAATGTATGCATGGGGTTGCACCAAAAACAATTATAACTGATCAAGATGCACAAACAGGAGGAGCTATCAAACAAGTTTTTCCTAATACCACTCATCATTTTTGTTCTTGGCATATTGGCAGACATATTGCCGAGCAGCAACTTCCAATGAAAGCACAATATGGAGATGAGATTTCTACATATTTTGATAAGTGGTACAGAGCTAGTACTATTCACCCTTGTGAGGAACGATGGAAGATTTTGAAGAAGAAATTTAATATAGATGAGAATGTAGATAGTTGGCTGACAAGGATGTATAGATTGCGTGCACATTAGGTGGATGCATATTTGAAAGACATGTTTTGGGCAGGAATGACAACTAGTCAGAGAAGTGAAAGTATCAATGCATTTTTTTATGGTTATGTAAATACAAAGACTAGGCTTGTGGACTTTGTATGCCAATATGACAAAGCCTTAGCAAATCGCCGTGCATCTGAATCTCGAGAAGACTTTATGACATTGAATACCGTGCCTGCAATGTTGCTTCGACATCCAATTGAAGTGCAAGTTAGCAAGTTATATACTAGGGGGATCTTCAAAATGTTCCAAGATGAGCTTACTAATGGGTTATCACTTTTTCATGAAGAAATGCTAAAGGAGGAGACAAAAATAATTTATCTAGTAGGTGATTTTTCTTAAGAAAGAGAGAAATGGGAAGAAGTTACATATGACAAATCTAGAGAGCTTAAGTTCAAATGCTCTTGTGCACTTTTTGAAACCGATGGGATCCTTTGTAGGCATATATTGCGAGAGCTTAAGTTCAAATGCTCTTGTGCACTTTTTGAAACCGATGGGATCCTTTGTAGGCATATATTGCGTATCATATGGCTTCTTCAGTTGACAGCTATTCCTGATAATTATATATTGCATAGATGGAAAATTGATGCAAGACACAAAAACATTAGATTTTTTAATGATATGGATGTAAGAAGCAATGAAGGTAGCATGGAGCAGTGCAATATTATTAGATTGTGGGCAATTTGAGCCAGATTCAATGCTACCCTTGAGATGGCTTCATGTTCAGCAAATGCCATTTCTATGGTGGAGAGAATGCTACAAGATATCACTGTATCAGTTGAGAAGGAAGTAAAGCTTAATGACGTTCATATTCAAACTCTCAAATTAAAAGTCATATTAGTTCAAATGCAAATGTAGTATTGAGAGATGGTGAAGAAATTTTAATTCGTGATCCTAGTGGCCTAGTCAAAACAAAGGGTCGTCCAAGAGGTGCTAGCAGGTACAAGTCAGGAATTGAAGAGTCGCAATCGAAAAAGGATGTAAAACATCGAAAATGTGGGAATTGTCAACAATTGGGTCACTATAAGACCGGTTGCCCGAAGTTGGTAAGTTACTTGAGAATTCATCTTGTAATATTTATTTGCCGTTCAATTGAATTATTTTTTGTGCACAACTTATGAATGTTTTCCATGAATAGAAAAAGTAACAGCATTTTGGAGCATTTTGGAGCATTTTAGTAGCATTTTGGCAGCAGTTTCCCCATGTTGTTGGAGCACATATAGTTGGAGATTCTTGGATCCCAGGTTGCTGTAGTTTCACCAGATTGCTGCAATTTTGTGTATATGTTTTGTTCATTAACTTGGATCATTTTTCATGCTTTTTATATAGTTTCTTTCATATTTTATGCTTGAACTCGTACCTTGTGGGGTTGTATAGAGCCTGTAGTGTTATTGACTGGACCGAAATCTCAAAACTAGAAGCTATCAAATGCAAGGACTGAATCTTTGGAAAGCTTTGATTCCTTTTCTTGTAGAATTCTAGTCTCTTAAAAGAATTTCTCTGTTTTCTTTTTCGAGAAATGTTCAGTTTTACTTAGCTGTAACATGCTGCATTTTCCATATTCTTCTATTTTGTTTAAACTGTAGTCTCTATTCAGAAGCCATTACATGTCTCTTATACATTTGCAGTTAAAGTTTATAGAACTACTGGAAGCAGATAGACTAATATAGAGAAATTGGAGATCACAAAGCACCATGAGCAAGTTGTCTGTGCTTAAAGACCAGGAGTTGCTGTTTCCAACTGTTCAAATTGGCACTGAGTTCTCTAAGTGGATCACTATGCACAACCCAAGTCAAAAACTCGTTATAATGCAGTTTTGTGTATATGTTTTGTTCATTAACTTGGATCATTTTTTGATGGTTTTTATATAGTTCCTTTCCTATTTCATGCTTGAACTTGTACCTTGTGGGGGTGTATTGGAGCATATATGGCTTGTGTCTTTAAACTTGCCTAGCACTCAATTATAAATGAAAACTATTATTTCATTCTGAGTTGTGATTATGCAGAGCTTGTTTATGTTGAAAATTCCATTAGTGCCTCATGCTGAGTTCTCTGATACATTTGTTGATGTTTGTAACTCTTGGTGTGGTAGTTTGCGATGTGGTGTTTTTCTTCAAATATGAGACATGGAGCATCATCTGTGATGGTTTTACTTTTTGATGAAAGACTGAAATACGAAGGTAATTAATTGGATCATAGGTTCCTTTTCGATATCAGTAGGCAGTCTAGGCTTCTAGATAGCGATAGAAGTGTTCTATGGGGTTCATGAACAGAATCAGCTCAGTAGATGCAATCCATGTGATAGGGATTTTGCTTTCTAGTTGTGTGGTGGATAGATTCTGTACACCTTTGGTGGCAAAGTGAAACAAGGAACATCGCATGACTAACCTTCGAGGACACATGAAAAGTTTGTTACTGTCTTATGACTTTGGTAAATTTTATCCAAACTTCTTAATCTTTGAACTTAATTTGAAGAACTTTGGTTTTTGATTGGATCTCTGGACCTTCACTTTTTATATGAGGGAAAAGACAACTATCCACAAATCAGATATTAAGCATTCCTCACATAGAAGAATCAAAATAAGTACAAAATGACCCATATTATACAAGCTTATCCTCACATAGAAGAATCATCCACAAATCACATCACATGTTTTTCGCAATGGAGAAACCAACAAATAGCGCAACAATACATACTTGAAACACTAATATTGTAAACACCGAACCTAATACAAAAGCATAAATGGAGGAAATACCAGTTTCCCCAAGTTTCGCCTTGTCGTCATCCAGATTATGCCCCGACGGAAGTATTTGTTGTTGAAATTGAACTGGTGTCTGGACATGCCTTGAGCTGGAGGCTGAATCACGAGCGATGGCGTGCTTCTCCCATTCAAGCAAAGCCTCTTCGTACGTTGCAAACCCTTTGTAGGAGGCATTTGGGAATTTATCAACTTGAGATTTGCATTTCTCCCAATTATCGAAAATGCCACATCGTCGACCTCTCTTCACAATATAGAAACTCTTTCTTGCCATAGATAACCTGAGAAATTGTGATTTAAAAAGTATCTTCAACACATATAATTCAGAAGCAGACAGAAATAAATCATTTAACTAATCAGACCATGCTAGCAACCTGAATCAAATACTTAGCTAGAAGAAGTAAAGGTGATAAAGCAGTAGCACAGAATTTATACTCTCACAGATGAAGCACATGACCAAATACACTACACAATGTCACACTTTATGCTATAAATCCAAACTTTATGCACTCTACACTGGACAAAGATAATAGTCACACCAGATGCCTAATTCTCCTAGCAATGTCAATTTCAATGATGTGATTCTCAAAAGATGAACAAGAATACGCAAGTAATATAAACTGTAAATGCTACAAATCCAATCTTTATGCACTCTACACTAAAAAGATAATAATCACACTAGATGCCTAATTCTCCGCAATGTCAATTTCAATGATGTGATTCTCAGAAGATGAACAAGAATACACAAGTAATATAAACTGTAAATGCTATAAATCCAAACTTTATGCACTCTACACTGTAAATGCTGATTTTGCACTTGACCCAGTTAATTTCAAGTCAACCCCAATTCACAGCAGTAAAGTATTAGCATAATAACACAAGAAAGAGGCCAACCAATGAAATTGAAATCTGAACAGACCCGGACGGAATTGACGGCGTCGGTGGCGATCTCTACAGCGGGAGACGGGAGGAGGAGGGGGCTGTCGTCGACGTCAGTCTCGATAGCGGGAGGTGGGAGGTCGTCAGCATCGGTCTCGATAACGGGAGGCAGGAGGTCGTCAGTGTCTGATCGACAGCGGGAGGCAGGAGGAGGAGGGGGCTGTCGTCGGTG